AATTAACTTGAAAACAATAAAATTCTTCATTCTTACACAATGCATACTTTTAACTAAAGTGAAGTGGGTTTTTTTTTATTTTGAGGTAAAATTTGACAATCATGTTCATAAATCTTTGTACCAACAGATGAGTTTTTGACAAATGCATTCAGCTATGTAACTTAAATCCCTATGAACAGAACATCATATTCCCATCTAAATTTTTTCTCATGCCTGGTAAATATTTCATCACTGTTCTTGTTTTTTCACAATATATTTGTTTTGCCTTTATTGAAACTTTATATAAGTAGAGTTACAGAATATCTTATGTGAGGTTTTTTCCAACTCAGGCTATTTTTGAAATTCATCAGTGTTATATTTTCCCATAATTTATTCTGTTTTATTACTTTTGTTTTATTTTTAAGACTCAAATATACTTTAGGCAGAAACTATTAGCCCCTTCTTGAATTCTTAAAGTACTGAACATTAACTCTAAGGTGTTTATTGATCCCTTTGTTGTAGCTACTTATTTATCTCCATTACTGCTTAGGAGCATGTTTGGGAATATGGTGCATAATATATACTCTATAGATATTTGTTGACTAGTTTTTATTTAGAAATCTATCTTACAGTTTTAGGTGCAGAAATCTTAAACTTGGAATATAATTATAATGTGAAAAACCAGTGCTTGAGTAAATACAAAATTTCAGTTGTAATCTGTTATCAATTGTTTTCCCCTAGGGTTTCTTTATTCTTATGACGAGTGAATCTGAGATTTTTCTAAACATACCAAGTTGAAAGAGACATTAGCTAATGTTCTTTATCATATATAGGAATAAGAATCAACTAATAAGGTGATTGCCAATTTAATTCTGATTTGACCTTATATTTTCTTGTACACATTTTCAGTTTTTATTATATTCTTTTTTTTTTTTTAAGATTTATTTATTTTTGTGCATACATAAATGGGGTACAGGCCAGAGACTCAGGGATGGCGAAAGACTTCGCCAGAGACAGAGCGGGATGCAGAACAGGCAGATCAACGAAGTACACTGCTGAGGGGAGCAGCGGGCTGGTCAGGAGAGGTCTGCCTCGCCATGTGGTCACCTCCACATGGCCACCTCGGGGCAGGCGGGAATCGAACTCATGCGGAAGTGGTCTCAGCTTCTTAGTGCAGTGCTTTAACCCGCTGCGCCACCAGGGAGGGCCCATTATATTCTTTTTTAAAAAAACAATAATATAGCTTATTTTTATATCATCTTGTACCTTTTTCCATCTCTGTTGTAATTCTATGGGCTTCCCATCACCAAATCACCCATGTGCCATCACCATAGTCATTATATTCTTATAAAACATTGATATGCATATTTCAACCCTTGTTATTTTTGTTTTTAAAAAACATCTGTGTTCTATCATTCTTTAAGGATAACTTAATTTGGAAGTGTTATGGGATTGTTGGGTCTCAAAATGGGGCAAATGAAATTGGGAATCCTGTGAGAGAAGTGGAGGAGCTTTTGAGTTTTTGCTCACTTTCCTGTCTCCTTTATTTTTCCTATCTAGATTGTACCTCTCTATTCAGATAGATAAGTGGTGTTAAAAATGAAAGGTTGTTCAAGAGTGACATAGTGTATATAATATAAGCATTTACCTTAGGCAAATTTTATAGCTGACAATTCTGTCTATAAAGCTATCTTTGGTTGATTTGCACTCACTAGTTATAATTTCTTAGTATATACAAAGTGAGCTGTTTGTCTTTTAGAGTGTCTAGTTAATAGAAGTATGAAATAATTATAGTACTTTTAGAGAACAAATGGGCAGCAGGCTGTGTTGCAAAAGAATGTACTACTTGTTTCACTCTGTCCATTTTTAGATCTGACTGGCTGATGTTGAAATGCAAAGTGTTGGCCACACAGGTGCAGTGTTCAACAGCTGTTAGAAACATTTGGCACCTTCCTTCTTCCCATAGAGTTATTCTCTGTTCAAAGTACTAATACTAGAAGATGAAATCTGAGACTTTGAATGTCTGTTTACAAAAGTACAACTCAGAGAGGTGGTATTATCAGCTGCCTTTAACTTCTAAGATGACTTGAAGTTTCCAAGACAACAACGGAGCCTGTATAGGTTTTAGCCTTGGAGTTTCAGAATTACAGAAGATTGCCTTTGAGACTGAAATTCCTGATGACGTTTGTGATATTTTATATTGGAAGATGAAACCAAAATATTTTTTGTAGCAAAAGGTGATGAAAAGCTATTGGATGAAGTTTTTTTTGTTTTTGTTTTTTTTTAAAGATTTATTTATGCATACAGAACTGGGGTATAGGCTAGAGGTGCAGGGGTGGTGAGAGGATTCACCAGAGACAGAGTGGGGAGCAGAACAGGCCGACTGTTCAAGTACACTGCTGAGGGGAACAGCAGGCCCGTCAGGAGAAGTCTGCCACGCCATGTGGGTCACCTCCGGGTATGGCGGGGATCGAACACATACTGAAGTATGTGTTTTGCTTCCTAGTGCTGTGCTTTTACCTGCTGCTTTAACCTGCTGCGCCACCAGGGAGGGCCTATTGGATGAGTTTTGAGGGAACTAGTAGGACAATCGAAGAAACAGTTTTAAAATTTGAATTTTTTTTTTTTTAAAGATTTATTTATTTATTCATACAGAACTGGGGTACAGGCCAGAGATGCGGAGGGTGAGAGGATTCACCAGAGACAGAGTGGGGAGCAGAACAGGCAGATCGACGAAGTACACTGCTGAGGGGAGCAGCGGGCGGGTCAGGAGAGGTCTGCCACGCCATGTGGTCACCTCCTGGGCAGGCGGGAATTGAACTCATGCGGAAGCGGCTTTAGATTCTCAGTGCTGTGCTTTAACCCGCTGCGCCACCAGGGAGGGCCCTAAAATTTGAATTTTATAGCCATTAGGATAGCTTAAAAGGAAGAGAAGTCAGAATATTAAGGACATTTACGAATAAAAATTTGAAATATTAAGGTTTTAAAAATTTGTAACAAGAAGATTGAAGGAGAATACCAGACCAAGAGAATTTGAGGGAAAAAGGAATAATGAGATGCTACTTGGGGGTTTGGGGTTTAAAGGAATGACAAAAAGTTGTGCCTTTAGGGGATGGAAATCAACATTTGAAGTACCAACTTGGATTTATTATTTCTTTAGATAAAGGGTAAGAACTCTAATTTACTCTAGGTCCATCACTAAAAATGGAGCTTGATGATAAATGAGACAATGTTTTGTTCTTGGATGTTTTTGAAATATATCTTTTCTACAGTTTCCTCCTTGGCAGGGAGCTTGAAATATTTTCACCAGAGTTATCAATTTATGTTGTTGCACTTAAAGATTGTGCTTAATTTTGGATGAGATAAAAGATACTGGTATGGCTTTAGAATACTGAAATGATTTGGGAAAAGAAAAATGTGTGCTGCTTTTACAAATTTGATGGCGTTTAGTTAATGTAATAGGTAATGACAGTTGTAATAGGCAATTGGAGAAAAGTTTTTTTTTTAACAAAAGATATACATGTAAGGTGAGAAAATTAACTATTGGCTTTTTAGTCAGTGGGTATCTTAACCTATCAGACAAGAATCAGAAATTTAAAAAGAAAGGGTAAGGCAGTGTTCTTCAGCAGAATTACTGTTCTGCTTTTGTTTCCCTTTGTTCTTCTCTTTCCCTTCTTGGTTTCCTACTTAGTATTCTTGACTAAACATTTGGTGTATATGATTGTAAAAGAAATTGCTATTATACTTTCCTTCATAAACATTAAAACCTTTTTTTTAGGATTGAATTCTTTTACCTTTTTTGGAATAACTTCTATAAAGAATTAATAAAATTTTTAGGCTTTTTTTTTCTTTTAATCTTTAAGCTATATTATGTTTTTCCTACTCCTCTTTTGAGGTTTTTAGATCTTTCAATTTTTTTTTCTTTTCCAGCATTAAAACTCTGTTGCTTTATTGAAAAATGCCTAAAAATCCATTAGTAAATCTCTTTAGAGGATAGCAGGGTACATTGTTCCTTTACTTTTTTTGTTGTACTTTGTTAAACTGGTCTCACACATGAACTTTCTTAGAATCACCCAGTTCCTGGTTCCTAAGGTTCTTCCTGTTTATTCAAATAAAAATAGAAAAGCATCTCAAAAAGGAAATTTGTCCAGTGTGAATTAATTAAAGACTCTGTTAATCTTAGTGTTGAACTGGATTATAGAGCTCCAGGTATCTGAAAATTTTGACTATTTTTGTATGTAATTTAAAAAGAGATACCAGGTAGGGCTTCTAAGTAATAACCATGATACTACATATTCAGCCATAAACTTGTTGGTCTGTGTTTTGGAGGATTGAAGCAGGGAAGTTGGATAAAAGTTAGTAAATCTTTTCCTTATAATATTTATTGGAACTTTGAAATTTCAGAGTTGTTTAATTGTAAGATTTATTTGATCTGTGTAATTTGTTTCTTGTTACTTTTCCAGATGTTAGCAAAATTAGGAAGTAGGTTTTTTCCCAGTCATCAGAAGTAAAAATTCTGAATGAAATTTTCAGTTTTAAAACCTATTGCAGATTTCCTCAAGTAGTTAACTGCTTTTAGTTTATATTTTGAAGAGAAGACAAGTTAAAGTGGGAACAAATTACAAGGTCATTAATATTAACAATAATAATGTGTTTGACATGGTGTCTGGTATTTTATATGGTTTATCTCATTTAATAGCACATCAACTATATTACATAGGTATCATTGTTGCATTCCTCCTTTTTAAAAGAGGAGACTACAACTTATATTGACTAAGTAGATGTTAGCTCAAGTTCATGTTGCTGACATCTGAGCACCTGCTCTCAATTTTTACAGAGAAACCTCAAATTCAAAATGAGAATGGTAAGTGTAGTAAACATGAAAAATTACTTCTCAGTCTTTATCATCATCAAGCTTGTTTTCATGATTATACTCAGGTTTAGCATACGCATATTTAAGGGGGTTCTAACTCTCATTCTTAAATGATGCTAATAGTTCTCTCTTTTTCTTTCCTTGATAGTCAAAAACCCTTTTGATGAAACATTTGGAAAAATACAAGTAAGTAAAAGATCATGATACTGATATTTTGTCTGTTTTATATAATAAAGGGATAGGATGACTATCAGCTAAAAATAGAATTAAAAAATAAAAATAGAATTTTAAAGATTCTTTTAGACAAAAGCAATAATTTTTCTGTTTTAAGCATTAAAACATAAAAATCTATGTCTTAACTAATGACATAGATTTCTCCTTAACTAATGACATTGATTTCTCCTAAGAGCTGAACTGTGTATGGCTTTAATGTGAAAGCCAACTGCCAAGTGAAATGTAGGTGCCATATCACCTAGAAATCTGATTTACCCTATTGTCTTAAGTTCTTGGACACCCAAGTGGTTTTTGTCCTCCTCTTGTCTCTCTGTGTCTTTTGCTCATTTTGATGCTTATCTCCTGATGCTCATTAACCCATCAGGAAGGCAAAGAACTCTTAAAGAAGCATCCCTTGAGCTAGCCATCTGTGACTCAGTCTTTTTAAGGATGCTATATTTTAAATTAAGCCACATTTACTCATGAAAGTATTTTCCATTTATATCATTATAGGCACTTCAAAGATAAAAAAAAGATTTGTTAGCTTATAATAACAGTTTTTTTATGATAGGAACTGATAATAATATAGTCTTATATAGAAAACATTTGTATACTGATGTGTAATGGGATCCATATATTGTTACTTTAAATTATTAGAGTGAGATTTTGTAATGATTATTTTTAGAAATATTTTATTGTAGAGATATTAGTTTTTTTAAAGTTGATTGTCAGAACATTAAGTGTAACACTGTTACTGGCATCATGATATGAATTTGAACAGTTACTCACTGTATATTTAAATATAAGGCTTTTTCTTCTGTGTAATATTCCCCATGAGGGAAAATGAAGTTCTGAACCTTTGAATAATAGTAATAATTATAATGAAGATAATGGCAGTTCACTTAAATTACAAAATTTTTTAAATGAAAGTTTATGTGAAAGCTTGCATCAAATATGGGTTTATTGGACTTGCCTAGTGGCACAAGGGGTTAAGTCTCTATGAAGCTGTCAGCAGCCACTGAAGCATGAGTTCCACTCCCCCTCCATACCTAGCTATAGGGAGCTGACCCACATATGGCACAGCATACTTCTTTTGTCTCTACCTCTGTGCCCCTTGGCAGTGTTTTTTCAGTCAGTCTGCCTGTTCTACTCCCCACTCTCTTTGGTGAATCCTCCTACCCTTCCATATCTTACCTCTGGCCTATACCACAGTTCTTGTAGGCATAAATAAATGGGATTTATTTATAGATTAAATGATCAAGGTAAATAAGGAAGTCAATAGACACATTTGAACAGTTAGGAAACTGTAAAAAAAATCTGAATGTAACAATACTGAAAATATAAGTCAATCAGAAAGTACTTTAAAAGTTGATTTGGGCCCTCCCTGGTGGCGCAGCGGGGTAAAGCACAGCACTAAGAAGCTAAAGCCACTTCCGCATGAGTTCGATTCCCGCCTGCCCCTGAAGTGACCATATGGCGTGGCAGACCTCTCCTGATCCACCCGCTGCTCCCCTCAGCAGTGTACTTCATCGATTTGCCTGTTCTGGTGAAGCCTCTCACCGCCCCTGAGCCTCTGGCCTGTACCCCAGTCTTTTAAAAAAAAAAAGAATCTTTAAAAAAAAAAAGTTGATTGTATAATTTTTGCATTCACTTCTAACATAGTATACTGCTATTAATGATAATTGAACCAAAGCCTTTGTTTCTCAATTGATTGGTTCACATTAATAACATACTATGAAAACTATCTAGTTCATATGTTAGTTGGTTGATTGTGTGATACTTGAGACCTTTGCAATATATACATGACAATTTTTAAAAGATTGGGATTAGAAAAATAATTTTTGAAAAAAAATGTATTTGAGCTTTTTGGGTGCTTAAATTTTTTGTATGACAGTGTTACCTAGCCCAGTGATAATATCTATGAATCCAGATATAAAGTTTATTTATTCCCAAGTCTTTCATAGTCACTAAAGATGTAATCATAGGACAGACATCTGATTTGGGGGTGTAGTTTTGTTTTTGAAAGGAGAATGGGGATGGTCATGATAAGGACATCTGAAATAAGGGAACTCACTTTTTCCAAATAAAAAGAGGAAATAGATTTCCTTTAATCCCAAAGCATAGTAGTCAGATATACCTGGGTTTTATATATGTAGTCCACAAGCTACACTATCATGGGAACTTCTCACCCTATTATTTTAAATATTTATTAAAATTGATTTTGTGTTTTAGTACATCACAAATGTGTAACGTCAGAATCTTGGGTTTCAGCTCCTGTAGTAATGGTTAATGTCTCATTTTTAATGTTTAATGTTTGGATTTTAAGCTTTACACGATGGTACATAATTGGCTTGATTTAGAATCTGGTTGCGATTGAGCTGAAGAAATATCATTTATAAATTCAGTCACATAAAACTAGGGATTCAGCCTTTGGTCAGTTTTATTCTTCGTAGTGCCAGTGATTTAAGCTGCATTGACAGAAGCATGCCAGCTATAGTGTGCAAATTTTGTCTCTTAAAAATACCAGCATGAAAACAAATGGATGAGACTGCATTGTCATTGGGTATGTCTGATTTTCCTCCTGATAATATTCATTCAGTAGATTCTCAAGAATAAAGGAAATAATAAAGACATAGCCCCTGATGAGTCATAAGTTTATGTATAATAGTGTGAAGAGTTACTTTCCTCTTCTGACCTTCCTTCCTCATAGCTTACATGGGTTCCTCTTCATTGTTATTACCTTAAATTGAGCGTTTCATTGCTTTAGACTCCTACCAGGATGATTAAATTCTACTACTGCAGTAATCTCTGGTCTCCTTTTATATTGTCAGTAATATTCTTCATGTATCTGTCTTTTTACTCCTAAATGTTGAGAATGAAGTCAAACTTGTCTTGCTATCTGGGACACTCTAGTGTTTGATTTTTAAATTACTTTTCCAGTAGTTTTCTGAGTCAGTGTAGGCTACTGGTTGTATAAGAAATAAGATCAGTGCATTTATACCTTGATATTCTAGCGCCTGTTCCTTCTACCGGGAATGCAGTTCTGAAGTTCTGCTCTTTCTATGAAGCTCAGTTCAAATATTCTTTATTCTATCAATGAATCTTCCCTTCCCTTCCTCTTCTATATACTTTATACTTTGTTTGCAACTCCAGTGTAACACAATTATGTTTTTTGCCTGAGAGCAGAAACCATCTTGCATATTGGGTCTCTTAACTTTGCTGAGAATAGTTCTTAAATCCTAGTAAGTGCTCATTAAGATATTTATTTTAAAAGACTTATTTATTTTATGCATACAATTTAGTGATTCTTAAGTTTATTCAGGGCTGCTTGCTGGGCCTACAAGAGGTTGAGGGCCAAAGTGTCAATACTCATTCCCTTATTATTATGTGGTTGAATCATATTATAACATAACACAAGGAAAAGCCTTGAAGAAAACAGTCTTGAAATAATAATATATATGTGTGTACATTGTATAGAGGGAAATTGATAGCATTGCTTTGGTGGTTGGAATTTATTGTGTATGTGAACTCTTTTTAGCACTAATTTTAGTGCATCATCCAGCATCATTAAGAACGTAAACTATTTAAAAATTTATGTTGTTGTGCATACAAGAACTAGCATATAGGCCAGAGGTTCGGGGTGAGAAGATTCACCAGAGACAGAGTGGGGAGCAGAAAAGGCAGGTTTACTGAAATACACTGCTGAGGGGAGCAGCAGGTGAGACAAGAGAGGTGCACTGTACCATGTGGGTCAGCTCCCTGACAGGGGATTGAACCCATGTTGCAGTGGCTGATGATAGAGACTTAACCCCTAGTGCCACCAGGGAGGCCCAAAAATATAAACCAGTTAGAGTGATAATTTAGATTAGGTTTCTTTAAAATATGTTAGTCATTGTTTATATGTGAAGTTGCCTTTCAGATTAGGTAGCTTCTATGATCTTACATTTATACACTTTTTAAAAATAATATTACTTGGTGCATGTTTACTTCCTTGCAATTGGATATTTTATAATAATTTCTTTTAATTTTAGGAAAGTAAGAAAAATCTCATGATGAACACTTTGTACAAGCTTCATGATCGATTGGCACAGCTTGCAGGTAAACTGTTTTTAATATTCATAGTCTCTAAAATATATTTTTTAAATATATATGTAGCATGCTGTGTCAGTAGAAACTGTTTTTCTCAAGTCAGTATTACATGTGTATAATGTTCTCAGAATTTTTTATTACCTAAATGGAGTGTTTTTATTTTTATAGATATATTTCATCAAAGTCTTTCCTCTGCCTGCTGTATTAGATGAAATGTATATGTTGTATTATATCATTTTAAAATTAACAAAAAATTTCTTCATTTGCATTGATAGTAGCAAATTCTGAAAGCTTAAATATCAGTTAAATTGGGGAGTCAATTAATTAGCTTAAATGCTAGGTTAACTGTAAAAGTACAAGTTTTCTTTTGGTTGGTTAGGTTTCACTTCCTTGGGTAAAATAAATACATTCTCCAAGAATTTTCTCCTAGCTTATTGTATTTTTCTTGTATTCTGCTCTTAGTAAGTCTTTGAGAGCTCTCAAGTTATCAACATACCTGCAATAAAAATTTAGGTGAATTGTTACCAAGTTTAGCATCTTTAAGCTATAGTAGCAGTTTATCTTTGATTACATTTTAACATTTTTAAGTTATTCTTTCTTCACATAATCTGAAAGAAGAGACTTTGGATTCTTTTCTAATAAGACAAAAAATGTGAAAACAGTTTTCCAAACTATATGTAGAAATAATTTTGGCTAAGTGAGATCAATGGTAATAGGTAAATGTAGAACTTCTGGTTGAATGGAAGCATGTAGAATCTCGAGACTTCCCCATCTTTTTATTTAATCTTTGGCTTTTTTTTCCTCTTGATTTCTTAATTTTGGTCAGTGTTTAGGCTCACAATTCTGATACCACTAAGAGCCCTCTTACCATTGGCCGACAGAGTTCCTATTCATATACTACAAACTCAAGACATGTGTTTGCTATGTCCTAGGACCCAGAAATAGGTCAAATATATATACTCTAGCTAGGAATTCTTAATGTTGCTACCACAACTTTTACACTGTTTTTATCACATTATATTATGAAGTGTGCTAGCTCAGCATAATTTGGGGTGCTTTTCAAGATACAAATTCCTTTCTCTAAAACAGGGTTCGGCTAACTTTTCTGTGGAGGGCCAGATAGTGAATATTTTAGGCTTTGAGGGCTAGACTGTCTTTGTTGCGGTTATTCAGTTCTTGCATTATAATATGAAAGCAGTCGTAGATAATACATCCATAAATGAATGAACATGGCGGTGTTCCAATAAAACTTCATTTATAAAAGACACAATTTGGAATATAGATTGTAGTTTGCCAATGACTGCTGTGAATCTATGGAATCTGAATCTCTGAAAATATATCATGAAATTTAAAGATTTGGTCATCTAATTGGTATTTCTTCCCTTTTTATTACTATGCCTTAAAATCTGGCAAAAATATTAAGTTGGAATGCAGTTACTTTCATGATAGAAAAATTTGGCAGGGATTTTTACTTTTAACTGTCCTACTGTTTATATCAGTTTTTAAAACTACTTAAAAAGAATACAGGAAAAACTTAGAATTGAAGTTCATTATAAAGATAATTGAGCTCTATGAATTATAGGTAGCCTGAGAGAAAAGGCCTTGGATTCTTTTCTAAATAGTTATAAGAAAAGGAAAATGTAATTTTGAAACTTCCCTTTATAGAAACCAGGTCATAACTAGAAACTTCTATTTAATAGCTCTGTTGATCTGTGTTATAGTAATTTTTATGTACCTCTTGCTGAAGATATACTTAAGTTGTCATTTATGTAAAGATAATTGTTTGTTTGCATTACTTACTGGAATTTCTTCCTACAAAATATCGATAGCATTGTTTATTTTCTTTATGATTATGCTATAGCCTATAATTGTATGATTTGTAAAATATTTGATGAATTGTATTTTCCCCTCTCTGCTATAGTATTAACTTTAATAATATGCTAACCTTTACAGGAGATCATGAATGTGGCAGTTCTAGTCAGAGAACCCTCTCTGTCCAAGAGGCAGCTGCATATTTAAAAGTAAGCAATCAAATTAGAACTTTAATAACTATGTAAATCAGAACCATATACTTGATTACTTTAACTATACTGTTAAAAGTTAGGGACTGCTATTTGGTATAAGAACAGAAAAAAGCAGAATTGCACAACACTTGTTTTAGAGCATTCTCTCTCTGTGAGAGAATGCTTCTTGATGTGAAGTGAGTATAAGCCACATTGGTAAGTAGTATGTAATAAAGCATCTCTTTTGTTAGTTATTTCAAATCTTCTGCCTTAGTTTAATTTCATCTTTGAAAACTTGGAAGGTGAGTTTTCTTTTCCCCCACCACCTTCCATTATACCTCTTTGACCCTTTCTCTCTCCTTATTTCTCTTAATCTCAGAAACCTCTCTTTATGAATGTCCTCTAGTTTGTATTTATTTTGCTTTGTCAGTTAATTTCCTGATTGTATCTTGGTTATTAACCTCATGTTAATTGTATAATTTGTTTAATTCATACATATGAAAATGTCCAGTATTTGTCTAACTTTCAGACTTATTTTTACTACACCTAGCTCCTCTTGAGCTCCACTGTTTTGCTATAAATGGTTATATTTTGTCTATTGCTCACCAGTATTCCATTGTGTGTATGTAGCCCATCTTGATCTAGTCCTCTATCAGTGGGCATTTAAGTGGTTGCTTCCATGTCCTGGCTAGTGTAAGTAATGCTGCAATAAACATTGTGGAGCATGTAATTTTTTTGAGTTGATGGTTTCATGTTCTTCATATCGATACCCAAAAAAGTGGGGTTGTTTACGTCATGGTATTTCCATTTTTGAACTTCTAGAATAAATCCAAATGGCTTTATATTCTTTTGTTGTTGTTGTTTATATTCTTTTTTTATTGTTTGGTTTTTAAAGATTTATTTATTTATGTATGTAGAACTGGGGTACAGGCCAGAGGTGCAGGGGCGGTGAGAGGATTCACCAGAGACAGAGTGGGGAGCAGAACAGGCTGACTGATAAAGTACACTGCTGAGGAGAGCAGCGGGCAGGTCAGGAGAGGTCTACCACACCATGTGGGTCACCTCCGATGCTGGGAATCGAACTCATGCTGAAGTGGCTTTAGCTTCTTAGTGCTGTGCTTTAACCCACTGTGCCACTAGGGAGGGCCCCACTACATATTCTTACCAACAAAATTTTAGGGTTCCTCTTTCTCCAGTCCTGCTCTAGTACTTCTTGGGGTCTTTATAATACATGCCATTCTCAAGAGTGTGGGATCCCCCTATAGTTTTGACTTGAGCTCCCTTATTAAAAGTAATGTTGAACATTTTTGCATATATCCATTGTCATTCTGGATATCCTCTTGAAGAATTGGCTATTCTTATATGTTGCTCATTTATTAGTTGGGTTGTTTATATTATTATTGTTAAGTTTTGTGTATATCATGGACCTTTACCCCATGTCACTTGTATAATTTGTGAAAATTTTATCCCATTCAGTATGATGATATTGTGATCTATTTATGTTTTCTTTTTACTTGGAGGTAATCCCAGTATATTTTTGCTTTGCTTTTTCTTTTAAGAGTTGAGCCTTCAAAAAAAGTCTGGGTCATTGATGTCATGAAATATTGCCATTGTTTTCTTTACTGTTGTGGATCTTACATTTAAGTCTTTAATCCACTTTGATTTTATTTTTGTATATTTTGGAATTAGAGTGGTCAGTTTCATCCTTTTACATATCCATCCACATTTCCCAGCACCTTTAGACTTTTACTTTTCCCTGTTGTATGGTATTATCTCTTTTCTCATAAATTAAGTACTGATATATGCATGGATTTATTTCTGGATTTTTAGGTCTTTTTTTTAATACAATTTTGATTTTAAAACCAGTGTTTTACACTGATTCAAAAGGACACCTGCACCCCAATGTTTATTGTTGCCTTATTTACAATTGGAAAGACATGGAAACAACTGAAATGCTCAAAAGTAGATGACTGGATTAAAAAGATGTACATATACACAATGGAATATTACTCAGCAACCAAAAAAAAAAAAAGAACATATGCCTTTCACAGCAACATGGATGGAGCTGAAAATGACATGCTTAGTGTAATAAGCCAGAAAGAAAAGGAAAAATACCAGATGGTTTCATTCATAGCAGGAGTATAAAGGACCAGGCAAGAAAATAATAATAATGAACAGCTATATACCAGAGACATTTTACAAGGGTAGAATGGGAAATGGGATCAAAAACAGTGAGGGGAGGTAAGTGCACTGGACTGCAGTGATGGCAGATTGGTGATGGGAAGCCTGCGGGGATTACAACTGAGATGGGAAAAGGCACAAAATGATGTAAAAATTAAGCTATTATAGTACTTTAAAAAAAAAGAAGAAAAAAAAAACTCCACAGTGTTTTAATTACAGTTGTTTTACAGTAGAGTTCAAAATCACCTAATATGATACCTTATGATGCCTCCATTTTTCTTTGTCAGGATTGTGTGTGTGTGTGTGTGCGCGCGCGCGTGCAGGAGGGGGAGGATTAACTAGAGACAAAGTGGGGAGCAAAACAGGCAGAAAGTTTACTGAAACACACCTGGTGCAGGTGAGCAGTAGGCAAGGTTAGCTCCCTGGCTAGGGATGGAACTCATGCCTATTGCCGATAGCACTGAGACCCAACCCCCAGGCTACCAGGGAGGCCCCTGTTATATTTTAAACATAGTATTAAATCCTTGATAGGTAGCTTGATGTAGTAAAATGAGCAAATCAACTTCAGTAAAATTTAATTTTCTTGACTTCTTAACATTACATTTTTATTTTTCCTATTTTCTCTGTGAAAGGAAATGTGAAAAACAATAATTAGGTTAAATAATTTAAACAGTAGTTTCCTAACTTCCCCAGTGTCTTCCTTGAATGTTTTAATTCATTTTTAAAATTGAAAGCTGGCTTTGATTTGTGAAGTTAAGAGGTCCCTCTGGTGGAACTTTTAGGAAGTACAGTATTTTCATGAAAATACATGATTGGTTTTTAAGTTATATGGTGGGAGCATTGTAGGGTAACTTTCTAATAGAAAGATATAATGATTGGTGGTTAATTTCCTAGGTTGCTTTCAAACTCTGTTTAATCTTTAACACAATGAATATGCTTAAGATTTGTGAGGAAAATAGAAGAGAAGATAGCTGTAAATACACCAAATTATAGGGCTGGAAAATGGCCTAGGTAAACACTGTTAATAAAATTGTCTTTGTGGAAAAACAGTGTCATAAGAAATGGAATGTGAGAGAAATTTCTTAATATATTTAATCAAGTACAATTTACTGTTGTGTTTGTATGTGTTACCTCTAATTTCATAGTGATCATGGCAAAGTAGGTGGTATCAGTCTTGCTTTACAAGGGAACCAAAGTGCAGAGAGATTTAATTATTAGATTACCTAGCGAGTCATTAATACATAGAATAAATCTAATGCAGGTCATATAATAGAACTGTGGATAGAATCGAAGTGTTAGTGTTCTCTCACCTTCAGTTCTGCCTCTTAACCTAAATTAAGAGTAAGGATGTGAAGAAGTGATCTAAGTAGATGCATTTGCACAAATGACTATTTTTTTCTTGTCTTACATAAAGTCACACATACAGGCCCTCCAGGGTGGTGCAGCAGGTTAAAGAGCAGCACTGCAAGCTTGCCATAGCTGTTGCAATGGGAGTTTCATCCTCAGTCCTGGTGGTGACCCACACGGCACAGCAGACCTCTCCTGTTTGCCCACTGCTCCCCTTAGCAGTGTACTTCATCAGTCTGCCTGTTGTGCTCCCCACTCTGTCTCTTGTGAATCTTCTCACTGCACCTGCACCTCTGGCTATACCCCAGTTTTGTATCCACAAATATATAAAAATCTTAAAAAAAGTAAAGTTACATATACAGCTAGTCAAGAGTGGAGCCAAGACCTGAGTCCAGGCCTGCCTTATTCTCAGGATGATCTTTCCGTTATTCCTGGAGGTGAAAGATCAAGTTCCCAAAAATCAATAATATATTGATTTCTGTGAATTATGTTTCAATTATTTTAATATGGCATGTATTATATATAGCATATATCATCTCACAATTGATCAAAATAGCCACTGACTGCAAAATCACATGCCTATTACTATACAAATTGTCCATTTTATGAACTATCCCCAATAGTTTTTTTCAATTGAACTATCCCCAATAGTTGTTTTTTTTTAATTGAGGTGTAATTAGCATATATTAGTATTAGCATTATATTACTTTTAGATGTATAACAATGATTTGGTAATTATATATACTCCAAAATCATTATCACAATAAGTGTAGTCGCCATCTGTAACTGTACAAAGTTACAAAAAGTCTTTTTTCTTATGAGATCTTTTTTGAGATTTACTTTCATGTGCATTACAGTTTGGTCATAGACACTATACTGTACATTACACCCTCGTGATTAATTCCCTGTTTCATAACTGGAATTTTGTAATGGAATCTTTGCCACCCCGCACTCATTTTGCCCCTTCCCTATCCCCTTTCCTCTCGCATTTTCTGTATCTGTGTCATTGGTTTGGTTTGGTTTATCTGTTTTGGTTTAGACTCTATACATGAGAGAAATCAGTGGTATTTGTTTCTCTCCATCTAACATTTCTTTTATAATATCATCAAGATCCATCCATCCTGCCACAGATAGCAACGTTTCCTTGATTGTTTGTTTTTAATTACTGAGTTGTATTGAATATTATGTGTCCCATAATTAACAAAATATGTTCTGAGAAAGGCTTTGTTAGGCCATTTTGTGGTGTGAATGTCATAGAGGGTAATTACAGGAGTGTAAGTCATATAGCCTACTTTTTACCTAGGTCTACCATCATATATGCAGTGCGTCATTAACCAAAGAATGGCATTAAGCAATACATGACTCTGTGTGTGTGCGCACATATATACGTGTGTGTGTATGTGAGGGTGGGGGCATGTGTACACACTCCATATCTTATTTATCCATTAATCCATATTTGAACTCTAGGCTGTTTCCATAATTTGGCCATC